AGTAGTAGTAGTAGTAGTGGTATTCTACAAAAGCATTTGTATATGGGCACTATAAGGGGATGAAACTACAGTCTGCATTCAGGTCCGCCGGTAGCCGCTGTTAGCACCGTCCGCGGCACCGTCCACAGGGCATTGCACTTCACAGCATCACACAGCCTAGGCACAGCACAGCAGCACAGCATCACAACAGCACCGCAGGACCTTGGAAGAGACTGTGCATGGAAGATTTCTGTGCGAACCGGGAAGTGATCCGTCTTTTTCGTTCTGGTTTTGCAAGACCAGCGAGCTCTGCGAAACAGAGGACGGTTTCGTGATGATGCTTAAAGATTGGCTGCTTGCTGTGGCTCGCGGTGGTCCTTCGGGTTTTGCATGGGGATTCGACGCCGTGGAGGTGAGCGCGGCAGCGACGCAGAAAGTTCCCAGAAGAGCCGGTACCGCCGCGGCACCGACTGCAGAGGCCAGGCAGAGACTGCAGAGGCTACTGCCGCGGAGAGGCGCCAGAGCAGAGGCCGTAGAGGCGGCCAGGGCAGGCAGGGCGGAGCGGCGAACCGAGTCTGCTCTTTGGTGCGGGCCCGTCGTCTGCGAGGCCTTGTTTGAATCAAGCTTAGCAATGGCAAGAACTTCGCCGGCTACAAGTGCAGCGGGCAGGCGGAGACACTTGGTTCCGCTTTGCAAGCTGCTTTAACGGCTGCTGAGCCAACAGGTTGAGGACAACGCGGGCATTGTATTTCGTCTTGGGATCTGAAAGAACACGGAGTAAGTAGGTTATAAGTAGAGTTATTAAGTACCCTAAACGGAGTTGCCCGAATTATAGAATGACCCTATGCTTAAAACCTACTTACTAAGTCCCCTGGGCCTCTAAGTGGGTTTACCCTAAACCGCAAACCCTGAACCCCCAACCCTAAACCCCAAACCCCTAAACCCCAAACCCTAAACCCCAAACCCTAAACCCTAAAACCTAAAACCTAAACCTGAACCTTGAGGGCTTTAGTTGTTTAAGGTTAGCCTTTTCCGACACGGACTTAAGCAGCTCGGCCTGAGTCCTGCGCACGGTAGGAACAGCTTAGGGCTTAGGGTTTAGGGTTCAGGGTTTTGGGTTTAGGGTTTAGGGCTTTGGGTTTAAGGTTTGGGTTTAGGGTTTAGGGCTTTGGGTTTAGGGTTTAGGCCGTTGCAACACTCCATGAATCCACCTTAAACCCTATACCCCTAAAGCCCTAAACCCTAAATCATTATAATTAAACCCTGAACCCTAAACCCCTGAAGCCGCTTAAACCCTACACCCAAGGAGCCCAAACTCCTAAACCCTATAAGCCCTAAACAATAAATCCTGTCAACCCTAAATCCTTACACCGCAAAACCCCTAAACCTAAAACCCTATAAACCCTGAACGTGGAGGCCCAGGGGACTCGGGAAGTGGGTTAGTCTGCAGTGTTATACGTACCCTAGATGGAGCTACCCCAGTTAAAACTTACAGCCGACTTACTAAGTCTCCCGGGCCTCTAGGTAGACCCTAAACCCTTAACTCTTGTGGATCCCTAAACCCTAAGCCCTCGAAACCCTGAAAGAGACCCCCTGTAGAAAGCCTCTAGGAACCCCCACGGAACCCCTTAGAGAACCCTTTAAGGAACCCGCAGCCTAAATCCTCAACCCTCAAAGGAACCCTAACCCCTAAACTCTAAACCCAAGGCCTTACACCTTATGAAACCTTAGAGGACCCTAAACCCTAAATCTTGAACCTTATAAACCCTCAAAGGAACCCTAACCCCTAAGCCCTAAACCTTAACCTTATAGACCCTTAAATGAAGCCTAACCCTTAAACCCTAAACTCTAAACCTTAAGCTTATAAACCCTCAAAGGAACCCTAACCCCTAAACCCTAAACCTTAAACCTTATAAACCCTCAACTGAAGCCTAACCCGTAAACCCTATGCCCTAAAAACTAAACCTTATAAACCCTACAAGGAACCCTGACCCCCAAACCCGAAACTTAAAACCTTATAAACCCTTAACGGAACCCTAACCCCTAAACCCTACACCCTAAAAATCAAACCTTATAAACCCTTCAAGGAACCCTAATCCGTAAACCCCAAACCCTAAACCCTAAACCATAGCCCTTAAAGGCCCGAGAGCCCTTTTGAGCGGGACAGGTCTCTCTCCGAGGAGCCGAAAAGGCCGTGCGGCCAGCACGCGAGGTCGGAAGTTTTAAGGTTTTGGGGTTTAAGGTTTAGGTTTTAAGTTTTACGGTTTAAGGTTTACGGTTTAGGGTTTTAGGGCTTTAGGGCTTTAGGCTTTAGGGTTTCGGGTTTAGGGGTTAGGGCTTAGAGGTTTGGGGTTTAAGGTTTAGGGTTTATGGTTTTAGGGCTTCAGGGCTTTAGGGCTTTAGGGTTTAGGGTTTGGGGTTCAGGGGTTTAAGGTTTAGGGTTTTAGGGTTCGGGGTTTAGGGTGTAGGCTTTTGGGGTTTTGGGTTTAGGGGTCTAGGGTTTAGGGTGTAGGCTTTGGGGGTTTTGGGTTTTGGGTTTAGGGCTTGTAGTCGAAAAGACCTATTTTTTCAGGATTCCTGACTATGGCTTCTTTATAGAGCTCCTTAAAAAAGCCCTAAACCCTAAACCCTAAACCCTAAACACTAAACCCTTTTCGGCTACAGGTAGCGGTGTAGGGTTTAGGGGGAGTGGGGTTCACGTGGGGTTGAGAAAAGATCGAGGCTTTGAGGCTTTTCCGGGTTTAGGTTTTGGGTTGAGGCTCTATGAGTTTAGGGCTTTAGGGCTCAGGGATGTTTAGGGTTTAGGCTTGGTTTAGGGTTTAGGGTTTAGGGTTTAGTTAGGCTTAACAGGGTTTACGGGGCGCGTTTCAGTCGGGGTCTGATAGGAGTGCAAGGAGTCGGGGAGTGGCTGAAGCCGGGCGTAAGCATGGCTTTAGTGGGGTGTCGGAGGTTAGGGTGGGAGTAGTTGGGGTTTCCCAAAGGCTCCATGTACCTTTATAGTAGTTACTTAGGCCTTAAAGGGGTCCCTATATAGGTACTTTAAGGCCTAAGTATCTACTATATGGGTACATGGAGCCTTAGGGTTTAGGGTGCGAATTTAGTCACTTAGTCTCGACCACAGCTTGTAAGGACTTAGATGGATTTATGGCCACTGGTCCTCAGGACGGAATTGTGTACCTACTACCTGCAGTTGGGGCATCTCTCCCATGCCACAGCCGATGCCTCCCGTCGCAGGCTTCATTCCGATGTTTTCATGCAGCTCATGGTACCTGCAGTTTGAAGCACTACGTGCTTGCTCCTTCGGTACGAGGCGCTTCGTGCAATTCGCAGCGGAGCTCCGTTCAAGCGCAAGCCGTGTCCGAACACGATGTACCGCGCGGCACACTTTCTCGAAGCGCTGGGCGCTCTGGCGACCGAGGCTTCGGCTTTCACTGTTGCCGGCCCTTGCTGGCGACACATGAGCTGCAGCCGACCGGGCCGCTTTGACTGCAAAAATCCTGCATGCACATCCTGGAATGCAGTGTCTCCTCTAGTCCGACGGAGTTGGAAGCAGAGAGAGCTGCCTTCGTAGATGATGCGGGGTTTCATTCAACTTCCAAGGCTTAACCCTAAACCCTAAGCCCTAAGCCCTAAACCGGAGTTTTTGGGTTTGGGGTTTAGGGGTTTAGGGCCTCTTGGCCTTGACCTGATAGTCAGGTACCTGGTTTACGGATAGTAGTTTTGTAGAAGAGTCTTCAGAAGAGAATATGGATAGTTCTCTAAATTAGGGTCCTTTTTACCTGGTTTACGGATAGTAGTTTTGTAGAATAGTCTCAGAAGAGAATATGCGTAGTTCTCTAAATTAGGGTCCTTTGTTGTCCTTTTGGAAAGGGTGCCGTACTATATTTGGGACCTACAAAGGGACCCCAATTTAGAGAACCACCCAATAATATTAGTGCTAAGTACTGGACCCTAAGGGTAGGAAGTATGTCCGGCAATTGTAGCTAGGAAAAATCCCGATCGCATCTATGATGGATGTGACAGCCTTTGACAAACTCGCAGGCAGTGACAGTAGCAAAAGCCACGATGAAGAAGACGCTGATCAGTCGGCAGCTTAGGTTTTTTCTTCTTTTGCAGGGCTTCGGGATCTTTGTGAAGTTCACGGTTTAGGGTTTAGGGTTTAGGGTTTAGGGTTTAGGGTTTAGGGTTTAGGGTTTAGGGTTTAGGGTTTAGGGCTTCGGCTTCGCGTTCAGATTCTGGTTGTCTCACAAAAAAAAGAAGACTCAATCTTCACGGCTTTCAATTTAGGGTTTAGGGTTTAGGGTTTAGGGTTTAGGGAGTTTCGGTTTCGCAGTTTAGTCACGCATGTTCGTGAGTAGGCAGGGCCTGGTTGTTGAAGGGGAAGCCAGGGAGACCGATATCCTTCTAAACTAAATTAATACACTTGACGCCGCACAATTTTGAGAAGCCGTCAAGGGTTTATGACACATAAGCCCCACAATCTCAACCCTAAACCCTAAGCCTACTTAAACAGGAGTCTCAGCCCGAGTTTCAGAGTTATGGATCTAAAGCTGGCGCGATGGGTCTGCACGGCTTGGAAGTCCTGGTCGAGGGGTTTGAGAGTTTTGGGTTTCAGGCCCGGACTTTCCAGTCTTGGGTCTTTCAGGGTTCGCCCGATGTACCACGGCTTGGTCGAAGTTGGGTGTTCCTGATGGCCTCGGGTGTTGTAATGTTCAGAAATACCCTTAACCCTAAACCCATGTCTTCGTGCAAATGATACCTGGTGCTTGGAGATTCACACAGCCCTAGACCTTCAACCTTAAAGCCCTAAACCCTAAAAGCCTAAACCCTAAGCCCGAAACCTGCATGCACGAACTATGAACAACAAGCTACTGAAGAACGTTAGTACACATGTTCCTTTATACTCCTGTATAGTTACACGCATAGTTATAGTATATCATACCCTAGCACCCTGTTCTAGTCATGAAGGCCCCTATACACTAGCCTATAGTAACCGTTGAAAAGAACCTTTGAAAGAGCTCTTAAATGAACCCGTAAAGGAATCCTTAAAGGAACCCTTTCAGCGAACCCTAAACCCCTAAACCGAACGAAAACCTTGAACGAACCTGTTGAAGGAACCCCTTAAAGGAAACCCTAAGGAACCCTGGTCTACTCGAAAGGTCCCTACTTTAAAGTGATCTCTTGATATTCCCATACCCTCAACTCCGAGCGTTCGCAGCTTAGGGTTTAGGGTGTCTTCCGGATTTCCGTACGTTAGGTCCGGAGTTTGTTTCATGATGTAAGGCTTTGGGTTTAGGATGGATGGCTTTGGGTGTAGGAATCTTCAGGATGTGTAGGGCTTTGATTTTTGGGTGAGGGTTTAGGCTTTTGGATGTAGGGTTTAGGGGCCTATAGGGTCTCGGAAAGGCCAGAGGGTCCTAGAACTTCAGCGTCCTTTTCGCGGTCTTACCTCTTGCGAAAACTTTACGTAGGATTGTAGGTATGGTGCCATTCCAGCTGTGCCTGTAAGTCCCCCCGCACATCCCCACGACGCTGCCATCTGTGAGGGGTCTCTCAGCCCTACATGGGTAGTTCTCTAAGTTTAGGGTTTAGGGTTTAGGGTTTAGGGTTTAGGGTTTAGGGTTTAGGGTTTGGGGGTTTAGGGGTTTAGGGGGTTTCAGTGACGGGCATCGGTTCTAGGCTCCCTGAACCCTGCATGCAACTCACGAGGCACCTGCCTCTACCAACTTGCGGAGGTTGGCAGACTGTTTAGGGTCTTGGGTTTAGGGTTTGGGGTTTAGGGTTTAGGGTCTAGGGTTTAGGGTTTAGGTTGAGAGTTTCGGGTTTAGGGTTTAGGGTCTAGGGCCTAGGGTTTATGAGTTCAGGGCTTGGCTTGGCGGTCTTCGGCTGTGTGGGATGGGACGGTTTAGGGTTTAGGATTTAGGGTTTAGGGTTTAGGGGAGATATGCTTTTTAAGTTGAATTTGGGTTTGGGTTCTGGACACTGGGATCGGGACATGGGCATGACTTATCCTTGTGTCTTTTGTGTTTTCGTGCCTAGGCGCGTGTTTGGCAGAGCTTTGGTATGAGGGTACTCCTGATGTTTTGCCGTTGAGATGGGGAGCTTAGAGTTGAAACACTGGCTCTGGAGTGTCGTGTTGTGGCTAATGTAGGGCCTTGATCATTTGAATCGGGTTTGGAGTATACTATACCACAGTTGTATTAAGAATCCCTCAGAACCCTATTCATTATGAAGGCCCCTACATAGGTATCCTACCTGTAAAAGCTCCAAAAGAATCGCTAAATGCCACGTACCCTAAAGCCTCGAAGAAAACGGAACCACAATCGAGACTATAGGTGTACCTCGAACCCGACCAGACCATAGGAGCAGAACCATGATTCAATGTTGAACGTGACTTATTCTACTCATGCAGCACGGGTGCCTGAAGCATGACATTCAGGTGTATATCATGCTCGGCTTACGCAAGGGCTGTGCGTAAGTGACCAAACCCTAACCCTAAACCCATATCTCATAGGCCTGAAGCATGTGGACTCTCCGAGCACACAGCCACTGACTCCGTCTTCGGCGATGTCCGTGAGGTGCAGCTCATGTCTTACCAGCTGGGGCCAGCGATGACATCAGCAAAGGAGGCACAGGGTTTGGGATCAAGATATGCGGGTTTCCGAAATAGGGGACGCTAATACGGCACCCTACATAGTAGGATCCTTGTTCTAAGGACCCCAACAGAAGGTACCCCTCATTTTCGGGAACTCCCTTTTGAAATCTAAGCCCTAAACCCTAAAGCCTAAACTCTAAACCCTAAACCCTAAACCCTTTTGAGTGTTTGGGTGTTGAGGGTTTAGCTTGAAAAAGCTTGCAGGGTTTTGGGCTTCGGCTTGTCGGTTTGACGTGTTCTTGTTGGGAGGGTTTAGGGTTTAGGGTTTAGGGGGTGGTTTTGTGCTTGAGGTCTGCGTTGGTTTAGGTTTGGGCTCCTTAGGCTGCGTAGGGCTGAAGAGCTCAGACATGCTGCATCCAAGGCGCAGGCCTTGTGAAGCCACTCTTCGACAGAATCACACCCTCCTCCGGAATAGGTTTAGGGTTTAGGGCATAGGGTTTAGGGTTTAGGGATTAGTTGTAGGCTCGTTGCGTCTATCGTTGTGTCACTTGATGGTTTTGGTTGTGCCCGCAAGAAAGCACCATTAACATCGGGTCTATTTTTTGGGGGGGAGGTTCCTTATGATAATATATAGTATACTGGGCCGCAAAACCCTACTCCAATTATTAAGTATTAAGGCCCTTAAACTATGGTTCCTTGATTTTCGTTCTGGCGTGGAGAGCTGACATGCTCGAGCCCGAGGCCTTCGACAAAGCCGAGGCCAGCAAAAACTAAACACAAGCAAATCCGGCGCTGCGCAGCTAAGGGCCTGAGTAGGTAACCTTTAACCGTTTGGGGCTTATACAATCCTACTAAAATTCAAAAGGTTAACCTTTTTTGGGCTAGGGTACTCAGACGCTAAGGCAGAAGTACTAGCAACTTTGTAGCAGATGAATCATCCATTGTGGCAGCTACAGTATGTAGTTGCATCAGTATCTTCATCATCATTCCCACTATCAGGTTCCCCACAAGCATATCTTGCTTCCGCGGCTTGTGCCATCCTCCGTGTAGGTTTCTTGATACTTTCTTTGCGTGGAGGTTCAGCACTGCAGGTGGCGCTGCAGTTCCTGCTGCACGCTTGCCTCGCAAGACCTTTCTCTTGTTCAATATTGATTGCAGATGTGGCAGGTGTTGGTGAGGCCTGCTTGCTCCTTACATTGCATGATTTTTAATCTAGTCCCCTGTCCACAGACTCTTACACCCTAAGCACTAGAGAAGCCCTCGAACACCATCTTCATTCTCTTCAGGTCCCTATACTAAGCTGCAATGAAAACCATCTTAAACCCTATAGCCTATCCCCTAAACCTTAATCCCTAAGCTTACAGTAGAAGCCGAAAAGTTGGAAACCTAATAGCCTCAATCCTTAAAGCTCATGTATAGGCAATCCCAGCACTGTTTGTCCTTAATCCTGTTTCCAACTTTTGGGGTGGTTTACTAAACTTGTGCTAATAAGCCCGACCCCAACTCAGATCTGACACCCTAAACCCTAAACCCTAAACCCTAAACCCTAAACCCTAAACCCTAAACACCTCACCTCAGGCGCTAGAGATGTTCCGGGAGCGTGGAGACAAAGCTGGCGAAGCTGGTGCCAGGGACTGAGAACGCCAGCACTTTGGGTTCCTTATTATTTCTGTGTGCAAGTCCTTAAGATGGTAGGGTTTAGGGTTTAGGGATTAGGTTTTAGGGTTTAGAGAACGCCAGCACTTGGAGATTTGCAACTAGAAGGGGTTTAGGGCTTAGGGGTTTAGGATTTAAAGTCTATGTAGGGGTTTAGGGTTTAGGCATGGCCCTGATTCCTGAACCCTAAAACCTTAAACCGCAATGTTCGGGGTTCAGCGTCTTGGGTCTTATCCGTGGTTCAGGAACTACCTAGACACCAAATAACCTATTTTTTAGGGTTCCTTATTATTTCATTGTACAAGTCCTTAAAATGGCAGGTTCTTCGGGGTTCAGGTAGGGACCATTTGGGGGTTTCCAAAAATAGGGGACCCTAATATAGCACCCTAAGTAGTAGGATCCTTATTATAAGGACCCCCAAAATAGGGTACCCTAATTTTCGGAAACTCCCATTTGAAAAAGCTGGAGAGGAGCCGCCTTTCAGACACCCAAGTCTTGACTCCCAGGCAGTCAGCCCGGTTCAGGGTTGAGGGTTTATCCCCAAACCCTGGACCCTAAACCCGAAACCCTAAGCCCTAAACCCTAAACCCTTATCCCTAACCCTAAACCCTGAACCCTATAGGCTTTAGGGTTTAGCCCCTTTCATCTTAAAGTCGCAAGTTTCTAGCGACTTTCAACTTTCAACCTCCTGGTGCTGCACCTGCTCGCCAGCACCCTAAACCCTAAACCCCAAACCCTAAACCCCTAAACCCTAAACCCTGAAACCTAAACCCTAAACCCTAAACCCTAAACCCTGAAACCTAAACCCTGAAACCTACAATCTCCAAAGTGCTCACTTCCCAGGCGGTCATCCTCATGGCCGAGACGCATTATGCCGGTGGCCGGCACGACAAGGTGGGACTGGGTTTAGGCTTGGCGGGTTCAGGAGTTCAGGTTTCAGGGCCTTCAGATCTACAGGCTAGGGCTTTGGGGTTTAAGGTTTAGGGGGTTTAGGGGGTTTAGGGGTTTAGGGTTTAGGGTTTGGGGTGTGGGTGTGCCGGGGGGGGGGGCGGCGGCGGCAGGGTTTTGGGTGAAGGCTTTAGGGCTTTAGAGGTCCAGGCTTGGGAGGTTTGCAAGGGAGGTGTGCAGCCCAAACGACCATGTAAATGCTTGTTGCCGGTGAATAGTTCCACCATTGATGCCCTAAACCCTAAACCCTAAACCCCAAAACCCGAAACCCTAAACTCAATAAGCACCTAAGCCCAATAAACACTAGGCACCGTGAACTCTGAATCCTGCAACCTAGGCCCTGTCCCAAAGGATCCCAAGTAATGTAGGGGCCTTAATGATTAGAAGAGGGTTTTGGGGGTTCCGTATTGTAACTTTAGTATACTATAACGCAAAACCCTATTGTAATCATTAGGCCCCTATGTTACCTATATAGTAGAATGTAGGGGGTCTCGATATGTTTCTATATTAGGGGTCACAGACATGATTTGGCAAAGTATCCCCCATCACTGTACCTAGGACCCTTTGGGTGTTCGATACCCTACGACACAGACTCTCCGAGGGTTTTTCCTTAAATCGTCTAGGGATTAGGGTTCAAGGGATTAGGGTTTGGGTTTTTGAGACTTCCTGAAGTACCCAATAGGTATTGCTTTAAGGCCTAGATACAATGAAACTTGAGGGTTCAAGTCGCGAAGCTCTCAACTGTAAACGCCAAGTCGGAGTCAACAACTCTGGTGGCGGCTTGACTTCAAAGGGTTTAGGGTTTAGGGTTTGGGTTTAGGGGTCTAGGGCTTTAGGGTTTAGGGTGACAAGAAACTGTGAAGCCGTAGCAATGCACCCTATACATGTGTATAGAGTTCTCTTCAAGAGCGAGGTCCGGTTGCCTCGCTCTAGTGCCAGATCTCTGAGTCTACCTGTAGAGCTGCCAGCAATTGATTTAGGGGTTTAGGGGTTTAGGGGTTTAGGGTTAAGGGCGCTCGATTTACAACCAAACAGAGCATGAGAACTCATAGTTATATTCTTCTTATGGGACTTTATAGGAGGCATACGGATATTCTTCTTAGGGGACTTTATAGGAGGCATACGGAACCATGCCTCAAATATGATGTTCTGCACGACACCGACGTCCCCGCAGCACAGCCTGAACAGCCCGGTTCACCCAACAGTCGCCAGCAGGCTGAAGAGACGGTGAAGGAGGGCATCGAGTTGGTCGCCTGAGCTCGCTTGTGTCATTTTTCAGCTGCGGAGTTTGGGTGCAGGATCTCGAGTTTAGGGCTTACGCCCTAAGGGCCCCTGTGCCCACATAGTATGTACATTGTCCTTAAAGTAGTCCCTATATAGGTACTTACGCCCTAAGGGCCCATGTGCCCATGTAGTATGTACATTGCCCTTAAAGTAGTCCGTCTTTAGGGACTTTGGGGCCAAAGTCTATACTATTTGGGTACATCGACCCTTAGGGACAGGGGTTTGGGCCCGTGCGTACAGGGTTTGGTGTGTAAGGTCTACCCATAGGCCCTAAAGTAGTTCTTTTTTGAGGTTCATATATAGAATTCTATAAGGCAACCCCAAAAAGGAACTACTCTGGGGCCTATGGGTAGGGAAGTCGAGATCGGGGGAAGCTTTGGTGCCGGGCAAAAAGTTGAAGACTTTCGAGATGGTTTAGCAGAGAGTCCGGAAGTCATGTGGTTTAGGGTTTCAGGGTTTAGGGTTTAGGGCTTTAGGATTATAGGGTTTAGGGTTTAGGGTCATGTTAGCACTTCAGGATCGTTTTCTCTAACAAAGCTTGCCTGCAGGGAAGGGACTCAGCAGGTTACGCTGTCCCAGGAGTTGTCCTGCCCGGTTGAGGAAGCAACGCCTACAAGCTATGGGTAGTCTTCAAAATTAGGGTTCCTTGCAGGGTCCCTTTTATAAGGATGCCGTACTATATATTGCGGACCGACAAAAAGGACCCTGATTTAGAGGAACTACCCACATTCATCCCCAAATGGACCTCTTGGAGCTGTTGACTTCGAACTCCGTGTGCGCATGGAGGTTCTTCTTAGAGGTCCAGGGGACTTAGTAAGTGGGTTATAAATGGAGTTATAAGTACCCTAAATGGAGTTACCCCAATTATAACCCTACTTATAACCAACTTACTAATCCCTAAACCCTAAACCCTAAACCCTAAACCCCTAAACCCCTAAACCCCTAAGCCCTACTTATAACCCACTTACTAAGTCCCCTGGGCCTCTAAGTTTCGTCTGCAGGCAGTGTCTCGATCCTCATCTCGCCCCAAAGCCTCCTCTCTTCAACCCTCATCCCGCGGTTTAGGGTTCAGGGTTTAGGGTTTAGGGTTTAGGGTTTAGGGTTTAGGGTACCCTAAACCCTAAACCCTAAACCCTAAACCCTAAACCGTGACTCATCCCTGAATCCTGGACTCTTATGAACCCTAAACTAAACCCCAGACCCCAAACCCTACCTACAGTCTCCATTGTAGTTCCTTTTGGGGGTTACCTTTTAGGATCCTTAATATAAGCTTGGTTAAGCCAAAAAGAGGAACTACATTGGAGACAATACTTCGAGGCCCAGGGGACTTAGTAAGTTGGTTACATATTAAGTAGGGTTATAAGTGGGGTAACTCCATTTAGGGTACTTTTAACTCCACTTATAACCTACTTACTAAGTCCCCTGGACCTCTAAGTAGGTAGACCCTAAACTCCAAACCCTAAACCCTAAACCCTAAACCCTAAACCTAAACCCTCAACCCTAAACCCTAAACCCTAGACCCTAAACTCCAAAATTCGCCAATTTGTTTGAGAAGCCCAAGCTCTAAGCCCGAGGACATCAACCCCCCAACCCCCCTAAATCGCAGACTCAAACGTGAGATTCCACAAAAGTTTTCAGAGTTTAGGTTTCAGGGTTTAGGGTTTAGGGTTCGGTGATTTGGCGTAGGGCCGTTGAGGGTTTAGGGTTTTGAGAAAACCCCCCGCTCCCCCCCCGAAGTGAAAATAAATTGAGCCAGTAAACAAGCACCTGGCATCCCTAAGCCCTAAACTCCTAAACCCTGAAAACCTAAGACCTAGATCCTAAGCCTGAACCCTATGCCCTAAACTCTAACTCCTAAACCCTAAATCCNNAATTATTAAGGCCCCTACAGTAAGTTCAGCCAGCAAACAAGCCCTGGCAACAGTACTGTCCAGGCTGCCGCCTGTGGAGATCAGCGGAAAGAGTCCTCCTGCCACCGATTTTCTTGGGGGGGGGGGGGGGG